GCTGACACAGAAATACCTAGCATCTCCAGAGTACCGGATTCCTTCCTTGCCCACTATGCTTCGGTGGGCACCGGTCCAACAAGTCCTTGCGTTGGTTCTAGTGCCCCAACCCAAGCTGTGCAGTCCTTCATGGAGCGGAGCCCTCCCAGCTCACCAGTGATGCTTGGTCTTGGTTGTCTGTCAACTTGACTGGACAGGGTGACAGCTAGGAAGTTGGTAAAGAAAGTGTCCAGAGATGACTGACACATGGAATTGGTGGGGAAGATCTCAGTGTGGACAGTGCCATCCCCTGGGCCAAGGCCCAGAGGGAATGAAAGCTAAAACCAAGGGTCTCTCTCTTTCTCTCACTCTCTCTCTTTCTTCAAGGTTACCATAGCATAATACATAATAAAGTAAGCAAGCTTATCTATCTCCTTTACAACTACAACGCACTGCTTTAACTCAGGCTCAATGGAGTGGACCTCATCAACCTTAGACTGAAACTATAAACCAAATTACACCCTTTTTTCCTTTAAGCTGATCTTCTCTGGTATTCTGTCACAAAGATGGAAAACTGACTAGCAATATTACCAGATGGCATCTTGCTCTTAACACTTTTATCTGCTTCCTCTGACATCTTGCTATGAAACAACCAACCATCCCAAACTTTCAAACCACTCTCTACGAGCTTTGTCTCACACCCAGAAAGAGCTTTGTGTCTCTTTAGAGCTGTCATTCCTGGTTAAACCCCGGAGTCGCTTTCCACTTCATTTCAACAGTCAAAGCTTCTAATAATCCCATCTGAAATATGTGCCTTGCAAGGGCATTAGGGGAGACTTGCTATATGAAGAGGACCAAATAGCCACCACCGGGCTCCCAACCCCAGCTGGCTCAGAGACGTCAGCCCATGAGTCAGCTGCCCTTACCTTCTCCAGCTGATGGACACCCTCTTCTACACAGCAGATAGAAGCCAGTGTACGGAGAGCCTGTGGGTACAAGCACCGGAAGCTGTCTTGTCGGCAGACCTTGAAGAGGGCTACAACTCCACCTTCCTGTGGAGAAGACAATGATATTACCTCCTGATCTTCCCTGGAGTGGCTCAATAAGAACTGACAGCCCTCATTCTGCAAAAATGTTTTTGGTTACTCCTCACACACTCTTAAACAGTGAAGTCCCAGTCCTTGACAATCCAAGTTAGAAATAAGGTATGCATGCCAGCAACAGACATTTTAGTAGGGTTGAGGATCCTGACACTTTGGCTCGCCCCTGCCCCCAGAAGAGGAGGCCTGAAGTCACCAGAACAGGACCAGTAAACTGGTGAAAGTAGATAAAGGGACAGAGTCTAGAATTCAGTCTCCATTTTCATTCCATCAGCTATCATGATTCTCTTTGCTCTTTCCCCTGTCATGGAAGGCAGGCAGAAAGGGAGTTTTATATCAGGTCTGTTATTCATTCCAAGTATGCAATGGAAAAACAGGCCACTATGGGGAAAGCAATTCCCCCTAAATCCACATCACCCTTACTCCTGCTTGTAGAAGAAAACAACTCCTGCCTGGACACTCATACAGCTCTTGAGTGTGAGTGAGTCTTTGTCTTTGGTAGGAACTGCTGATGGGATCTTCTTTCTCCCCCTTTGTGGAGACCACCCAATAGTATGCATCCCAGAAGAGATCTGGGCATAGGAAGTATTCTATAATCACCACTGCAGTGTACAGAGTGACAGCACCAGCAAACCATACAGGGGACACACCACAATACCCACAGACCGATGGCAACACTACCTTGCAAATCCAAAGCAAAAGTTGGTACCCCCATCTGGCTTTGTCTCCTTCCCCGCCCTTCTCCATTTTCTGACAGTGTGAAGGCACTTAGAGGTGGCCCTGAGTGAGCAAGGGATCTAAGGCCTCGGTCACCTTTAACTTTGCCCATCACTCCTGACTCTACCTTTCTTGGCACCTGTTCCTAGAACTGAGCAAAATGTCATAGGAAGGTAAGTTGAGCAAAATACTATGTCCTGTCATGTTTTTGATAATATACTTACCATGTGCCAGGCTCCATTCCATATTTTGGGGATGTAGCCATGACTGGCTGAAAGAATAATGAATGAACATCCTCAAAGCAAACAAGTATCCCTACAGCCCAGCATAGCTGCACTGAAATAACCTCAGTTCTTCCTCCCCTCTGCTCCAAACAGAGGCTCAGGAGCCCTACTTGCTCTAAGAGTTTTGCTCCTGACCACTGTATGGATCAAAATGAATGTGTCCAATTCAGGGAGGTGGATATATACTAATTCCTGGTGTTTTATAATCAGCTCACATTGAGTACAAATTTTTATATCCCTACCTTCTCCTGGGGTGGTTGCTTTGGTGAAAAGGTAGGAAAATGCAATCATGCATTCAAAACATAGTGATTTATTACATGCCAGATACTGCCTTGGTCCCGATCCATATTGGACTTTTAGTTTGGAAGGCAGACAGTTCTAAAAGCAGGAACAAGGCTGAGCTGGGCAGAGATGCAATGAAAAGAAGGCAGGCATGAGGCAGGGTTCCTGGAGAACAGAGCAGGAACCCCTCAATCTGGGAGCAGTTTGTAGAGTGACAAGACAGAACCTCTCTGATTTCAAATACTCGTTATTGTTACAATGAAACTCTGTCTAGCATGAGATAAGATGCCTGCCCCTCAAATTCCTCCATCTATAATCCTTTGTCCAGCTTTTTTATTTTCTTATGGGACATCTGTAAGTTCCACATTAGGACCTGCTAAGACAGCCAATGAAGCACAACTGAGTTACAGAAACACAAAGTAACAGGAGTTTTGAGCTGTTCTCCGCCAGCCTTATTTGTTGTCAAAGTCCCTCTCAAGATATAACATTTTGGGGTAGATATTTATATCTGGGCGTTTTAATATTTGGTCATCTAAATTGTATGGATATCATTTTATTAGAGTTATCAATTGGTGATTAACATATAAATAATGTCTGCTTCATTGGGAGCAGACAATAAAGAAATGATACCATAGAATCAATCTATGGTTGGGGAACCTCATGAACCCATTTTGCTCCTACCATTTTGCTGCATGAACTCAGTCTCTCAAACTGCCTTCTAAATGTGTACCTTTCTTCCCAGAGGCAGTCCTTGGAATTCATCAGAGAGGTTTCTTCGTGTGGAGGACAAAGAAACCCACAATCTGTCTGTCAACAAACAAAGACTAAGTTCCTGTGGAGTGCTCAGCCTCAGATGGGATCCATCATACCCCTTCCTCAAGGACTGAGGATCATTGTACCCATAGCTCGCAGTAGCTCTGGTTGTCTGCACAAAACCTAGTCAAGATCAGGCTAGTCAAGCTCCCACCCCGAACTGAGGAGTTAGGCGGTGGGTGGCTTCTGGGGAGGAGGAGGAAGATAGACAGTTTTCTTTAAGGGCATGGTTCTTGATGGGTACGTCCTCCAGTAGGTGGCGCCATACTCAGAAGTATAGGGGAGCACCTCTAGGGTTTTTTGTTTTTTGTTTTTATTATTAAAAATAAAGGACATAAAGTTGAGAGGAGGCTGTAGACGTCTTGGAAGAGCTAGTGGCTGGGGGTGAATGTGATAAAAGTAACTGTTGCATTATGGAATTCTCAAAGAATTAGTAAAATTATTGGGGTTTGGAAGGCTTTTTTTTTTTTTCCTTAAGGAACCCAAGCCAGGAAGGCTGTGGCAGCCTCCTTTGCCTCAGAAGGCAATGAGGCCAGCAAATCTATCTAAGCTCTGCATTTGCATTGGGGCCTCATTGTGTCTTTTTCTGAGTCTGTGAAAAATGCCCTCCTAATCATTTTCAGTTATATATAGAAAAAAGCCCTAGACCCTTACTAAGGGGACTCGGGTCTCAATCCCAGCTCCACATCTGGTTAGTTTGGGCTAAAATGCTATGCAAGACTTTAGCAGGAAAAGCCACTGAAGTGATATGTGGAAGGGCCTGGTGCTAGCTCTCTGGTCAGTGAGATGAGAGTTAGGCTATGGGAGCCTTCCTGGTCAGAAGATGGCCTTGTCTCCTCATGAAATGCATGCATAGGACCAGGGCTTGTGAAAAGGGGAAGCAGGAAGGACTACCAAAGAGTTTAGACAAATTATCTGATGGACAATGACTAGAGTCCCTCCCACCCAGGATCTGACAGCAGCACTTATTCTGGGGTAACACAGGGATCACCTGAGCTAGCAGATCACGCTGTTGGCTTGGGCTTGTTTAATTTTATAGAAAGCTCTGGGCTGTAAGCCCAGATGCATAACAGCATGAATTATTCAGACAGCTTGGGATGAGCTGTCATAACGCTGGCAGGGGCCACTCCAGGGTGTGTAGGCTGGTGAGGGAAGGAATCACAGAGGGTGAGTGTGACACAGCACAGTGAGTTTTGTGTCCTCTGCTTGGGGAGGGAAGAGTGTGGCCACCATTATCATGAGAGGGTTGGGCTCATTCATGAGATACTGAAAGGCCAGACCTCAGACAGGCTGCCTGGATCTCAACTAGAAGCAGCTTAGAGGAATGAATGACCCAGAGGTCACAGTGGGCTCCAAGGGTGTCATGAGGAAGACCACTGAGGGACCTTGCACACTGGTCCCAATGTTGAGTTCTTTGCCATGTATCTGAGGTAGGATATTTTCAGCACTGGACTCCCACAAGGTGCTTCTGCCATCTTCTAGACTGGAAAGATAGAAGGCAGCACTGCATCCTCTCCCTGCTTCAACCCTCAATCTGCTTCATCCCAAGGACAAGACACAAAAGTGATGACGTGAAGACCGGCATCAGAAGACTTGGTTAAAATCCCAGCTCTACACCAACTTCTGAAGTTGTAACTTCAGACAAGCCCTGGCCATCTGAAAACCTGCTTTCTCCCTTTAAAGGTGTGAATTTCAGGGTCTGGAGGGATGGCTCAGTGGGTAAGCACTTGGCGCACAACTGTCAGACCTCCAGCACCCCGATAAATGCCAGGTAGGCTTGGCAACCCTCCTATAATCGCAGGTATATACAAAGGATTCCCATAACAAGCTGGCTTGCTAGATTAGTCAAGTCAGTGAGTTCTGAACTAAGAACCCTGCCTCCATGTACAAGGTGAAGGGCAATCCAGGAAGACAGGCAACATCAACCTCAAGCCTTCAGATGCACGTACCTACATGTATAGCTTCACACAGATGTGGGCCTACACATATACACATGAAGAATGTAGGCACTGTAACGATTAACACAGCTAAGGATGGTTGGTCCATCAGATGGGATGCCAAGTGGAGAGCACAACAAAGTGCTTGGATCACTATGAAGGCATAGGGACTAGGACAGGGGAGAAGACAGTGAGAAGGAAGAAAGGAATGTCAAAGGGAAATGAGAAGGACACATTGCTGGGAGACCGTTCAGAATAGCCAGGGGCATGTCACCTTTAATGCTGAATAGCCTAGCTCAAATTCTATCGGTTCCAAGGTCTCAGCTCCCCACCTATGTAGTGGAAGTGGATGCTGTCTTCTACACAAGGCTTTGAGTAGGTATAAACAGGCACTCAGAACATTATCAAGCACTAGTAAGTGCTACAGAAAGGCTATGTTGTTTCTAGTACTGATGCTACAACATCTAACATCATCATCATCATCATCATCATTGTGACCAGTTCTAGCTTTAGAAAACTCAGGCTCCATGTCTCTCCAGCTCCCACCAATGCCTCCCAGTCCTAGCTTTCAGCGGGCTCACACCTATATAATCATTTGTTGTGTAATTACACTAGGAGCAGAAGGAGGAGGAGGAGGAGGAGGAGGAGGAGGAGGAGGAGGAGGAGGAGGAGAAGGAGGAGGAAGTGGAGGAAGAGGAGAAGGAGAAGGGAAAAAGAAGGAAAAGAAGAAGGAGAAGAAATAATGATTGAGACAGAGATGAAGTGTCTTAGAGCAGGGACTGTTCCCTATCAGGGTAAGACTCTTAATTTTAAGCAATTAACCTGAAATGCAGAAAACATGGGCTCCAGAGGAGGAAAAATCTGGTTTCAAGCATGAGCTGGGCAAGGTGCGCCAACACTGAGTCCTGGAGGTTTCGTGTGTACAGATCACTGATATTCATCTCAGAGGATGTGTGTGGACCAAACACTAGACTTACACAAAGAGTGCCAGTCGGGAGCCTGGCACAAGAGGAACAACCAGGACACAGTATTTTTTAAAATTGTTTTTGTCATTAATATTCAACAAGGCTCATGTCTTCCCTTAGAGAGGCTATGACAGGGTATGGCTCAAAGCATCAAGACAAATATTTGAAACTGTTAGCCAGGACTGTTAATCCAGACTGCACTGGGAGCCTGGAGTTGTGTGGATATCTGGGGAGAGAATGAGAGAGGTAAGGAAATGGAGGAAGCAGTGACTAAATGAGGAAAACAGCTCACCACGGCCGCCTGGTCAGACTAGAGTTTGACAAAAACAAGAACTGCAAGCTTACTTTTCCACCAGCAAGGCCAGACACTGTGGCAGATTAGGGAAGTCTTAAAATTCCACATTTCACTAAGGTAGGGAGGGCTAATGGTTCCAGGGCCTGGCCAGCCTCCTGCCAGGAGCCAACAACAGGGCTGGAATGAAAGCTGTCTATGGTCCTTGCCCTAGGCCTTTCTTCCTGCTTTCTACCACTGGAGATGCTTGGAACCAATGTTAACCCACAGTAAGTCCCAGACCTCTGAGGAGACTACCAAACAGGGAGTTAAGCGTTACCTTTGGCTTAGAGTCAAACTCACATCTACTCTGTTTTCATGAAAGAGGAACATGGAGGTCGGCAAGTAGTAGACATTGTTTACATGAGCAGCACACAGAAAGGAGGTTGTGAGTACCTAGGCCAGCCAATATTTGCCACGTATTTTTTAAGAGAAAAAGGTTCTTTGTTCCAACAGAACCAAAAAATATAGGCCCATGGGTCTTTTCTGAGACTGATACTCCAACCAAGGACCATTCATGGAGATAACCTAGAACCCCTGCATAGATGTAGCCTGTGGCAGCTCAGTCTCCAAATGGGCTTCTAGTAAGGGGAACAGGGACTGTCTCTGACAGGAACTCAGTGGCTGGCTCTTTGATCACCTACCCCTGAGGCAGGGGGCAGCCTTACCAGGCCACACAGGAAGACTATGAAAGACAGTCCTGATGAGACCTGATAGTCTAGGACCAGATGGAAGGGGAGGAGGACCTCCCCTATCAGTGAACTAGGGAAGGGGCATGGGAGGAGATGAGGGAGAGAGGAAGGAGGGCAGGATTGGGAGGGGACAAGGGAGGGAGCTACATCTGGGATACAAAGTGAATAAACTGTAATAAATAAAAAATTATACTAAAAGAGGTTCTTTGTTCCAAAAGAAATTCAGCTATGTCTGTAGGAATTTAATTACTAAACTGGAGTTAAGAGGTTGAAGAATTTCTTTGTTCTGCACAGTATCGTGTGACCTCTACAGGTCAAGACTCTGCACCAAGCTGAACGATGGAGTCACAGACTCTTTGGGGAGACAGCCCTAATACTCTCCCTACTTCCGTCGCCCTAATACTATCATATGCATTCAAGTAAAATCTCAACTAATACCCCCCTAAAGAGAATAGTGATTTGCAAGGGATTAGAAATCACCTGGAAAACAAGCCTATCTACCATCCCAGACCAATCAAAACAGAATCAGAAATTCCAACATTCTGCCATGATTCTCATGGCCTTCCAGCCTTGAGAACTCTGAGTCACACTTTGGCCCAAGACTTGAACTGTGTCACCGCTGTGGGCTTTGGGCCATGAACTCTGAACCAGAGCTCTTGGTTCTAAATCTGAGCGAACTATTTATTGGTTATGTGACTTTGAACAAGTTCCTCATGCCATATCTCTGTTATAAATGGGAACAACATAGTGCCCACTACATAGGCTGTTTTCATGTTTTAAAAGAAACAAGTTGTGCAAGACATGAATGGGGTGACATAATGTCAGCTATTGTCATTAAACCAAATTCACTTGTCCCCCACCAGAGCTGAGAAACCTTTACCCCATTCTCAATTCTTTAAGGGCTTCAAGATTAACCATCCTCCAGAGAACTTGCTGAAATGAAGAGTCACAAGCATCACCCAGAACTGTAGAAACTTTGGGGTGGTGCCAAAGAATCAGGTGTTTTCAAACTCTCTGAAGGACTGCAGTGCAGATGGAGGACTGGCGACCCCCGACCTGGATCCTCTTCCTGTGACTGGCACCCTGAATCTACAGAAGACAGGGCTGAGTTCCACTTAGGTCATCACTTCTCAGATGAAAAAAAGAAGAACGCAACAAACCCAACTTTGGTGCTAGGGCCTTAACTTTTGGAGGCCGCAGTCAAGGGTGGGTTAGCCAAGAAGTTAGCAACTTACACTCCTGTCCATTTTTATTTCACCTCACTCCTTCATATTGCTGGAGTGGTAATGGGCATTTTGAGGATCCAAAAATGCATTTCTCCTGAAAACACTGCTGCTAGTTAGTATGGGGTAGAAAGAATAGTGAGAAGTATTAAACGGTGTGACTAGAGCTTAACATACAGATAAGACCATATTCTAAAACTTCCCTTTGAACTGGGTTTAAGATACTACATTTCTTATACTCGTAATGAAATAAGATCAAATAAAATCCATCTTTATGGATTTATTTATTTATGACATTATTGCTATATGTCAGATGGTCTTTGTACCACTACATCTTTCTGTAGACACCAGAGACACCACATTGTTAAGAAGAGCTGTGTGGAATGTGAAGGAATGGTTGACATTTATAACAGGTGCCTCATCTGAAAGATGGCAGAAGTTCCTAGACTTATCTGCGATGATTAATCTTGTCTGTCAACTTAGCAATTGACCAAGAAACATACCTGTGAGGGATTTTTTCTCAATTAGGCTAATTGAAGTGAGTAGACTCACCCTAAATGTGAGTATCTTGATCTGACTATCAAGAAGTCAGAGGGGAAAACTAGCTTTTTGCCTGCTTACGTTTGCACCTTGCTGGCAAGTTCATCCACTCTGTTCACATCACATCCTCTGCTGATGTTGAAAACCAGCTTGTTCAGCCTCTCCAACATGGCTAGCGTCACTCCAGGAATGTCCCAGGCCTTCAGCACCACACTGGTACAGCTAGAGGCCTTGGACTGAGCAGCTATTGGTTCTCAGTTTCTCCAGTGAGAAGGCAGCCAATGCTGGACTACCCAGACTGTACTGTGTAAGCCACTATCATAAGACCCATTTTAATTCCACCAGTCATTCCACCAGTCATGTTCCTTTAGGGAATCCTAAACACTGTATATTTTTTGTGTCGAGTGGGAAATGAAATAGCAGGACCTAGGAAACATCAAGAAAAGTGACTCTTCCAAAGTCCACAGCAAGCTAATGCTGTGGCCGAGACAAATCTGAGCCAGCCATCTCCACCAACCAAATAAGCAGATCTTCCTCTTGCTTTCCCCAGACCTGCTCTCTGGTCCCCAACCACGAAATTCACCTTGGCTATGATGCGGCACAAAGGAGCCCCTTCCTGGGTCAGGCTGAACAGGTTTCCTGTGGTAGACTCCGTGATGTAGATGTTGTCTGAGGTATCAATTTTTCTCACAAGTGCCTAAGAAGAGAGAAAAGTCAGCTGATTAACTCACTTCCTCCTGCCCTCTGCTCCTCTTCCTTAGTGGAGTACCAGTGGGTCCATGCTTCCAATAGCCTCCGTGGAATCTACAATCCTGTCCCATCTACTTGAGGGAGCAATAAGATCCTAGCTGTAGGTGAGGTCTGAGCTCCATCACAAAGAGGCAGAGGTGGGGAGTCGTTTCAAATCAATAGTCCACGGGGATCAATGAGTCCAGCTCTAGTTAACTGAGGTCCTAGGCAAATACCACTTTAAGTTGGCAATAAGAACAAAAATCACAGGTGACATAAACAAGCATCAGTGTGACAACATGGGAGTGGCCATAGCCATGGCCAAAGAATTTGCTCATTTTGCATGGCTGTTAGACAGGATGAACTCCAGCTGGTGATGGCTTCAGGGGTTGAGACAGCATCTCCAGTAGTATCACACTGCCTAGGGGATGTTTGCACTGGGGGCATAACCATGGCAAATAGTGACAGCAGAGTTCTAGACAGGTAGGTAACTCCTTGAGTAAAGAATGCTTTTACTGACCAAAGATAAAACATTCTAGTGTCTGTGGAGAGGGTTGTGTACAGAACCACAGAATTAAGGAAGAGCCAGGAAATCCATTAACAAATAAGGCATGAAGATTATTCCTAGAAGAATTTAGCTCATTTCTGGGGGCATGCAGGGAGGGGTGAAGCCTTACAAATTCCAATCACTTCATAATCAGCCATAAGCTTTGGCACATGTGACTCCTCATTGATTACCATCTATTCTTACCTACTACTGAATGCAGTTCAAGTTTTTCCTGGAATGTGTGGCTATGGAGACCTGCCTTCCTAGGCCTCCTATGAGAAGACAAAATCTGCAAAATATGGGTGTAAATCTCAGGTATCCTTTTAGTGGCTCTCTGTATGTACAAAGGCATGTGTGCGCATGCAAGTGTGTGCACGCGTGTGTATGTGTGTGCATGAATGTGTGAGCCTGGGTACATGCCTATGTGCCCATAGGTGTGTGCATGTACATGCAGATATGTGTGCATGCATTTGTGTGTGCATATATGCGGGCACATTGCATATGCATGTACATATATCTGTATCTCTCCATCTAATATTTTGGTACAAGATCTCTCACTGAACCCAGAGCTCATCAGTTCAGTCAGTGAGCTCGGAGGGTCTCACTGTCCTCCTCTTCAGATCTACAATGACAGACACACACCACTGGACCTGGCTTTTTTTTAACATGGGTGGATCTAGGAGACTGAATTTAGGTCTTTGTTCTTATACAGCAACCACTTTACAGGTTGAGACATATCTCCAACCCTTTTTATGTTGCCTTGAAACAGAGTCTCATGAAACCCAGGCCACCTTTAAATCTAGAGGCCTCCTGCCTCTGTCTGAGTGCCGGGACTAGAGGCATGCACTGCAATCCCTGTACTATTTACTTTTAGATATTAAAATGGATATGTTTTTAACTAACCCTGGTACTGTAGAGAGGGCTCTTGGAGGAAAGAAGAGATTGAGAGTCTCATCTCAGGTTGCCGTTAGCTCTCCATGCAAACCATGAATGCATTTGGTTAATAGCAGATTCTGAAACTAAAATGCTTGAGTTTCAACCCTGGCTCTGCCATTTCTGGCACTGTGCCTTAGAGCAGATGATTTGCTCTAGCCTTTTTTTTTTGCCTCAGTTTCTTCATCTGTACAGTGTTGGGACAAACAGCATCTGTCTCTCACAGTGAAAATGCTCTTATCCTGACCTCACCAACACATATGTTGAGAACATTGTTAGAGGTCATCATTTCTCATCTTAATCAAATGAGATAAACTTTTTAAGACTTGGTTCTCAACTTATAAAATGATTTAAATTAAGATATTTGGGTCTCTTTTCCTCTTTTTTTCTTCTTAATTTAAACTCATAGAATTCTTCACATACAGTATGTTAATCCTCTAAAAAGAACAGACTTAGATTAAGTATGTATTTAAAGAAACTACATATAAAATAAAAATTTGTATTCTCTAAGATTTGGTAGGTACTTCATACAAGAGATTCAACAGAAGCTAGCATTATTAACCAAGATTTGTCAGCATAGACTTCGGTCATGAGCATGTTAGGCTCCTTCGCCACTATTTCCATGAGCAGCTACACATGCAACAATACTAGCTCAAATGGAAATGTAGATTTAATATATTGGGGTCCTGTACCTAAATGATAATTACCTAATGATCCTGATGAGTGTTTGCAATTGAAGCAAATTAGCATTAAATTAAACAATTTGAGCCCAGTGTCTTCTGCAATCAACCGCTAATATTAGGCCATTTATGTCTGAGAATAATTTCATGTTAATGTCTATACACATATATGCAGTAATTACACCCCAGATTTGTCTTGGAGACAAAGAAAAGTTGTAAGCATACTTTCCCACAGTATAAATGTGGAAAAACAGATCAAAGGCTCCTGTGGAAGCCACGAAACTAAACATTACAATGTCAGTCTCTAAGTCAAGTCTCTTTTCACATTTGAGCAATGTCAAGTACACACAACTGACCAAGCTCAAACAGGCATTGTCCATAGGAGCTGGACTTTGTCCTCTGTGTGATGGCTAACCCTGTGGCCAGCCTGACTGGATATCACATCACCACATAGACACACCTCTGGGGCAGCTATAAGAGTGTTTCTAGACAGGCTTAACTGAAGAGGGAAGGGTCATCCTGAGAGTGGTGGCAGTCTCTCATGAGCTAGGGCCCCAGAATGAATACAAGGGGAAAGAGAGCTGAGTATTGCATTCATCTCTGCTTCCCGACTGCTGTAATGCCTTCCCTTCACGACCGACTGCTTTCCTCTTTCAACAGTACACCAAAATAAACCCTCTCTTTTCAAAGTTGCTTTTATCAGGTATTTTGTGGCAGCTGCAAAAAAACGTAACAAATACTCCCTGTGAGTGTGCATTTCTACTTTAAGGGTCAGTAGTCCCATAACTAAAGTGCATTTGACCTCACTTAGACCAGAAAAGCTAGAAGCCAAGGCAAGTATGCCATCTGGTCCCATCAACAGGATTCACTGTATCCTGGCTTCCATCCACATCTATCAGTCAGTGAAGACGCCAGGGCTCCACCAGAGGCAGAAGAGAACTGACTGAGAGCTCTTTGCTGATCCCAGGATCTTCCATTATGTTCTTGCCAAAGCCACACTTCCCCTGAACTACTTCTAGGTGAGATTGAGCTCAGCATGTCTGTGGTGCAGAGGTCTTCACCCATTGATGCCTTTGTCTTCATTCCCTAAGTCTCTCCGCCTACTCAATTCCTTTTCTTTGTCGAATTGAAAGCCAACTTTCCACACCATCCTCAGTTTCCTCTCTTTATCCCCAGGAACAGCCTACCATCTTAGAAACTGATTCATATTCCTGAAAACTAACACATTTCTAAAAGTCAATTTTGGGAGGATTATTTGGCCTAATTTTTGTTTTCAGGAAATCAAGGAGATCCTAGAGACATTCCCAAGAGATATTTCATTCTAGATCATAAGAAGGGTGGTCTAAGATTCTAGACAAAATAAAACAAGATAGGCTAGCAGGTGAGTGACAAATACTTTCTTAAGAGACAGACCACACATACAGAAATAACAACAACAAAATAACAATGTCTTTAAGACCAGGAGAAAAGAAAAGAGCATGAAGGAGAAAGGATGTGTGAATTCTACCAGCTCTAAACAAGGTGATAGAAAGTACATCATGTCTCAATTGTATCTCAATCAGAAAGTGCCACTGAAAGGCAGTGAAATCTATCAAAAGGGAGATAGCTCAATCTGGCTAGAATCTGTTTCTCAGAAGAAACCAGGAAAATATTGAGATTTTTTTTCTGAAGTTTCAGTTGGAAAGTGTGTAGTTGGACAAAGTGGGCCAAGGAGTTACACCAGACCCCAGCAGATTTGACAGGGCATAGTAGATTAAAGATCTATTCCTCCCAAAGAAGATCGCATTGTAACAACCCCTCCCTTGGCTTCCAACAGAAGTCAACGCCTCTCAGGAGTGATGTTCCAGGACTCCCAAGACTAGGACATAAGAAGCCTTGAGCCTTCCACCAGGTTTCTTGGGATAGTCCTTTGGGAGCCCTGGGGTGGCATGTAAGAAGTTTAAGGACCCTGAAAAAAAATCTCTTGAAAAATCCCTGTCTATGTTCTCCACTGAGAACAGACTTACAACATACATACATACATACATACATACATACATACATGTGACAGAAGCTGCCTGGAGGTCATCAAACCATCTTCCAGCTTCCATAGCATCTCCTTGAGAGACAGGAAACAAGAGGCTCACTCAGCTAAGCCCCACCCAAATCACTTAATCCTTATGATCATGAAAAATAATGAAAGCTATCACTGGGTTTGCTTTTATGCTTAAAATGCAGTTATAAAACATAGGGGAAAGCCACAAAGATCAGCATGGATGCTCCAAAGGGTAAATGGATAAATGTCCAGATGAAAAGTTCTAGGAAGTGAGAATGAGAAACTGCTCATGCCCTATGGAAAATGCTGGATAAATCAGGACTCAAGAGGAATAGCACAGATGAAGACAGAACCTGAAAAACTATCAACCAAACCCAGAGTTGGATTATCTGTTGATCAGATGGGAAACATCTCTGAGATGTTTCTGAGAATACCTCTGATCTCTGAGAATACCTCATTTACAAAGGTAAATGTAGATAACCTGTGAGAACCAGAGGCTTTTGAAAGACCAAAACTTTTGTGATTTCATATCTTTTGAGAAGAAAAATTATCCCTAAGTCTATAATAAAATGTAAAACAAAGGAAAATACAACAAAACAAAAGATGTACCAGAAACCTACAGTATGAGGGAAAGGCTGCCCAGATCCAGAGGCCTTATAAAAAGGCCTGTATGAAGCTCAGACTTGAAGTACCTTTGGAAGTGCTAGTGTATGTATCAACAGGAAGAAAGAGAACTAGGGACCCAGATTGCTCCTGAAAAATGAGTTAGCCTG